TTTTTTTTTTTTTTTTTTCGGTGATGACGTGGCAGTCAATTGTGATGACGTGGCAGTTGACTGCTGATGTGGCAGCTGACTGGGACTGCTGACGTGGTAGTAGCTGGACCCCCTTCTGCTGACGTGGCAGGTGACTGGACTGCTGACGTGGCAGATGACTGGGTCTTCCTTGCTGATGTGGCGATGACGTGTCAGATGATGTGGCGACACGTCATCATCTTCTTCCTTAGGATTTTTTTTTTTTCAAAACTTCAGAAGGATGTAACTCTCAGCTCCGGTGTCCGTTTTTCGCCCGTAAGATACCGTTGCGACCGTCTCGACGAGACGAATCTAACGGTGTTCTCGGAATCGAATTTCGAGCACAACTCAGAAACTCGAAATTTCTACAGAGGCTCGGAAAAATTCAAAATTAAGCTCGAAAGCTTCAGACCAAGCTCTGATACCACTTGTTGTGGTATCATCCCAAGATCATAAACATAATTGAGAGAAAAATAAGTTTCTATTACTCACAAGAATAAAAACAAGAGATTTACAAACTCTAAACAAAAAACTCTCAAATTCTCCCACAACTCTTCTTGGTTGTGTTTCAACACTCTCAAGGTTGATTGATCACACTCTTGGATGATTCAAATGAATGAAATGAGCACTCTATTTATAGGCACAAAAATTAGCACACCATTGTGTGTGAATGAGGAAGGTGGTGGATGGTAGGTGAAGGGCTAGTCTTCTTCTTCATTGGTGTGCTTGAATGTTTGGTGGATGGACTTGGTGCATGGAACTTTCACTGCACCTTTCTCAATCTACCGTCAGTCTCAAGTAGGGTTATAAACGAAACGAATTGAGCTAAGCATTGATTTTATCGAACTGGACTCAATTTTCTGACTGTTGAGCCCGAGCTTGATAAATTGAACATTTATAGGCTCGGCTTGACTCCACAAAATAATCCAGGCACTGGAGATTGGTTTGAATTTGATCGACTCGAATTTCACATGAGTTTGGTCTGAATTTTTATGGGGTGTGT